TACAGGAATACAAGTACTCCTTGGGAGTTCTAGAAAATGGACTTTGGGGGGAAGAAATTTACATTTGGCAGGGAGGTTGATTTAACCTGGTGAGAGCCTTCAGAGGATTTCATTGGCACTCAGAAAATTAGGTTCTGACTCTACCAGCCAGCTGTGTGACCCTGAGGAAGTCCCACAGCTTCCTCTTTTGAAAAATGAGGAGCCTGGACAAGATGGACTATGCTAGTCTCATAATCTTGTGGAACGGAAAACTATCTGCAGAGATGAGTTTCCTTCCGTCCCTGTGAGCCCACCAAAAATAAAATGGCCTTTTAGAGAATGGTGGGCAGCTGCGGCCCGCCCCCCCTTCCTCTCTTTCCTCACAGACGCCTTTCTTTACCCAGTGGGCTTTCAGCTTTTCCTGCTTCAACCCTGTAGGTTTTCGCGGGCACGAGGCCTGACTCAGCGGCGCTTCCCTCTTGTGTCTGTGTGTCACCAGGCGAACAGTTTCCTGCGGGAAGAGGAACTCACCAAGGCAGGCGATTGGGGGGGGGGGGGGAAGCGCTCCGTCTCCTGGCGGGGGGCGCCCCCCCCCCCCCTCCGGGGGCGGGCCCCCCCGGGGGGGGGGGGGGGGGCCCCCCCCCCCCCCCCCCGCCACAGGTCGTTTCTGGAACCGTGCAAAGCCACGGGCCACAGAAGATTATTTGAAGCAGTTCTTTGTGAAGAATACTGTCATTTCTGAGACAGACTTAAACTTTGCATCTCCTTTTGTTTTTTAATCTTTTTTTTCCTGTCAAATATACGAGAGAGAGAAAGAGAAACTTCAAGAGTGAAATGGTAAAAAGAAAAGAGACACAGCGGGGTTTGAATGAAGAATGAATTGTTCAGTCTAAATTTGAGCAGCCTTGCTGTTTTAACTATTCAGAAAAGCCGGTATTTCAAGCCCAAGTTATCTGTGGAAGATGATGAGTAGAGAGGAATTATTTCCAGATGGCTTTTGAATGTTTCATCCTCAAGGGCATTTTGAGGATGGGCCTTGGTGGATCTGTTGGGCTGTTTTGGGGATCTGGAGCCGGGTGTTCTGAGTGGAGCCCTTGGGTAGGGTGAAAGGAGAGACCCAGAATGTGCTTCCTAGAGCAGAGTCCTCATCATGAGGTGCACGGTCTCGCCAAAGTCTGCACACCAGGGGCCCCTCACTCGCAGAGAGTAAGAGCCATGGTGCTAGCACGGGAAGGGGCTCTGGGCACTGCTGGGAACGGCAGGCGTTCCAGAGGGCTGATTTCTAAGCTTGGAAGCAGGGGGAGCCTGGATGTAAGCCGAAAGGACGTAAAAGAGGGCCCGAAAGGGACAAAACTCAGGAGGCGTGTATTTGTGTGCTGAGCCCTGGGCAGAGCAGCCCTGCCCGACTGTGGGTGCGGGTACTCCCTCCTCCAGGCGCCTCTCCCAGCTGTGGAAGTGGAGGGAAGCGCTCTATGTCCTGTGGGTCTGGGTTTGCCCGCTGCAGGTGTGGGAAGGGCAGGGCTTACTGACTGCCTGCTGGCCCAGTGGTGAGCCCGAGAGAGAGCATTTCTACACTGGGGATGAGACAGACGCTCATGTCAGCCCTGCCTTCCCATCTCGGGGGTGTCTTCTGGGGGTGCACAGACAACAAAGATGAATCGTTTAGCATTTCTTGTGGGATAATGAACTTGAGAGCTTCCTATGGGAGGAGTTGCACACTATGAGCTCTGTGACATAAAAATATGTGAAAGTACACATCGGTCCTCACCCTGCCCACCTGGCCATTTGCAGAGAGCAGTTCATCTTGCAAGAGCACGTCTTCCTCCTCTTCAAGGGTAGGGCAGCATTGTCCTTTGGTTTTTACGTTCTCTGGGTGTTGTGTGGGCTAAAGGGTGACATGGGCTGTTCATCCGTGGGGCCAGGGGACAGAGGGAGTTCAAAATAACTGAGATAAAAAGAACTGAGTTGTGGGGTTTGGGGAACTATGAGACACATTAGCTGGAATACATCCTGAAGGTTCGGCTCAGAAATAGCAGCGGCATATTGATCTGGAATCCGAGAGCTAGTGTTTTAATTCTGTCGCCACCTCTTTGAACTCTGCACATCGATGTGCACGCTGCAGATAAAAGGCCTTTGGTGCTTTTGTTTCATTATGGCTCACAACCAGTGAAGGCCACTCTCCCTGGGATAGGAGACCTTCTGGAGAATGATGTTCTGATGAGTGTCACCAGCCGGGGCCCCTATTGCTCCACATTTGCAGGAACTGTCCTCTAAGCATGGGGGCCGGGGAGGGGGGGGCCGGTGCAGCGTGAGAAGGGATAAAAAGAATTCAGATTGCCAGTTGATATTTCAAATCTAATTTTGTATTTCAGTGTAAAGAAAAGCACATTTCTCTTTTTCAACATTTCCTCCTTGATCTTTAGGCTTTTAGACACCTTTAACAGAAGAGAACCATATCAGTATTTTTTTCTTCTTGGGCTATGTCGTTTCCCGTTCACATATAGATTGCATGATCCTTTCCGATGAGCATGTGTCGAGGATGACATCTCTGTGTCAATCGTTTGTGAATCCTGTGTCTCCTTGCCTTGCCACCCCTCTAGCAACTAGCTCAAAGCAGAGCTAGTTGCTTTGTTCTAGTACATTCTACTTCCTGGGCAGTTTCCTGATTTTACCTTATACCTCTTCCTTTGAAATTTCCATTTCTACCATCATATTTTTTAATTTCTAAGGTCAGTCTTATTCATTGAATAATCTTCTAAAATAGTATCCTGCTCTTTTTTTGTATGGGTATAAACATTTGGTATTTCTTAGCTGAGTGTTTATTTTTGATAGATTAAAATGTGCCCCAAAAGGTCTGTTAGCACTGGAACTTGTGGGCTGTTGCAACATGGCTTTTAGCTGGGGGATTGCATGTGTCAGGGTCTGCAGGATCTTCCCTCTTATTCAGAGGGGACTCTGCACTTCTTCTGTCTGGCTTCACACGGGGCAATGTGTGAGCTGCATCTCAAGGCCCCAAGCCTAGCCCTGTCTGATACAGGTTTCCTGGAGATTCAATTTCCACCTTTTCTTGAAATGCAGAAGAGTCCATCCTCTGGTTTTGTGGTCAGGGGCACCAAGCGTATTTTTCTGTGCAGCCTTTCAACAGTTACTGCTGCTTTCAGCCTTGTTCTCCAATTCTTGATGCGTTCAGGGATTCTGTGGCATGAATTGTCTTGCTTCTCCATGGCTCTCCTCCCTGGTGGCCCTCAAGGTTCCAGCTTCTTCTTTCCCAGTGACTGACTACTAGGCCACATGCTTTTCATTGACATCACTTGTCTGGTGTCTCATCTCCTATCTGTTTGACCTTATGAATTTGTGTCTTTTATTCCTTAAGCCATTTGACAAAGTTGTTTGGAGGGAGTGGATAGAAATGCATGTATTTGCCAAATGGCCAACAGACACATGAAAAAGTGCTCAACATCGCTCGGCATCAGGGAAATCCAAATCAAAACCTCAATGAGATACCACCTCACACCCGTCAGAATGGCTAAAATTAACAAGTCAGGAAACGACAGATGTTGGCGGGGATGCGGAGAAAGGGGAACCCTCCTACACTGTTGGTGGGACTGCAAGCTGGAGCAGCCCCTCTGGAAAACAGTATGGAGGTTCCTCAAACAGTTGAAAATGGAGCTACCATACGATCCAGCAATTGCACTACTGGGTATTTACCCCAAAGATACAAATATAGGGATCCAAAGGGGTATATGTGCACCCCGATGTTTATGGCAGCAATGTCCACAATAGCCAAACTGTGGAAAGAGCCAAGATGTCCATCGACAGATGAATGGATAAGGAAGATGTGGTATATTTACACAATGGAATATTATGCAGCCATCAAAAGGAATGAGATCTTGCCATTTGCAACGACGTGGATGGAACTGGAGGGTGTTATGCTGAGTGAAATAAGTCAATCAGAGAAAGACATGTATCCTATGACCTCACTGATATGAGGAATTCTTAATCTCAGGAAACAAACTGAGGGTTGCTGGAGTGGTGGGGGGTGGGAGGGATGGGGTGGCTGGGTGATAGACATTGGGGAGTGTATGTGCTACGGTGAGCACTGTGAATTGTGCAAGACTGTTGAATCACAGATCTGTACCTCTGAAACAAACAATACATTGTATGTTAAAAAGAAGAAGAAGAAGAAGATAGCAGGAGGGGAAGAATGAAGGGGCGGAAATCAGAGGGGGAGCCGAACCATGAGTGATGATGGACTCTGAAAAACAAACTGAGGGTTCTAGAGGGGAGGAGGGGTGGGAGGATGGGTTAGCCTGGTGATGGGCATTAAAGAGGGCACGTTCTGCATGGAGCACTGGGTGTTATATGCAAACAATAAATCATGGAACACTAAAAATAAATAAATAAATAAATCATTAAAAAAAAGAAATGCATGTATTTGATTTCCAATGTATAATAGACCTCTATCCTAATCAGCTTTAAAGAATTATTTAACAGAAAGTGCATTGAGATGAGACCTTTTTATAATTAAGCAGAACTGGAGGTTATTATGCAGCCATAAGATTCTGAAGAGCAAATGTTAGAAATGCAGACATTAGAATTCATAAGTCTTACTGGGTGATACCTAGAAAAATAGATTACATAGTTTTTGAGTGCTAAGGTTTTGAACAAAAGCAGTTCTATCTCTACCAAAACAATGCAGTGTGTTACCATACTTCTCCTCTAGACCCCTTGAAAATTTTTCGAATTTCTGGAGACACATATATTGTGAACATGTGATTTCTAGGTTAATTATTGTATATATGTGGGCCATGTTTCTAAAGCTTATTTTTACCATAGTTCTTTCCTTTCTACGAAAGCAGTACAATTTCCTTGTAGAAAATACTGGTAAGAAATAGAAGAAAATATCCTCTCCTACTCCTACCAATGAGAAGTAACTTCTCCTGTCATCTGGTTCTATGTTTATACTAGGTTAGAACTGATACCCTTGGTCTTCATGGCTGTGTATCCTCATTCTTTTCCAGGATACCGGGGTTGGGAAATCAAGCATCGTGTGTCGATTTGTGCAGGATCACTTTGACCACAACATCAGCCCAACCATTGGGTAAGTTCCTGTATGTTCTTCTCTTTCACATTTCTTCCTTCCAAAACACCAAGAGGTCACTTTGTGCCTGAGCCTTCAAGCTGTTTTCACCCCAGCCAGTGAGAATCTATCCCAACTGTAAAGACTTTGTGACAGAAATGCAGTGACTTTTAGGCAGGATGTCTGGGCTTACTGTCCCTGTTAATAATTCTTTTTTCCTAGCTGACTGTCCTCTTGGGCTTCAGCCTAAGACCATCTCCTTGATCTCCAAGAGCATTACTCTGCAAATCACGTCGGCTTTATTTCCAGGTGGAAGATGAGACACAGGACAAATCCCTGAAGGTCGAGCTTTAAGTTGCCTGCCAGTAAACCTGGAAATACTGTCCACTCACACAGCACAGTTGTCCAGAGTCTGTGGGGCAGATGGCTTTTCCTTTCTAGATTAATTGAGTGTTAGCATTTCCATTCTTATGCTTGGGGAGGGGAGGTGGACTGTTCACTTCTGAGACCCCAACCTTAGAATATAGGGACATTTTCCTATTCCATTTTCCCCTTTCCTACAGATGCTTTTGCCAGATGTGCTTTGCTGTGCCATTTTGCAGGTGCTTGCTTTTTCACTCTCTTAGAACTTGGCCTCACTAAATTTTCTCCCTGAAGATATCATGCTCTTTGCAGAGAGCAAAGGTTTTATTTTCTTCAGAAGGGAAAGAATGTGTGTCTGTATTTTGGCCACACTGTAGGATTGATTGATGAGCACAGGGGTGATTGTCTCTATCACTTGTAAGTGGAGAAGATTCATAGCAGGGCATAAGTAGATGCTCCAGCAGTTGGTTGATAGGCCAGTGGCTGGAGTGGGGTAGGTGAGAAAATCACTACATTTTATAGTTAAAAGTGGCTTAAAGAAACATGTTCATGGGCACCTGGGTGGCTCAGTTGGTTGGGCGACTGCCTTCGGCTCAGGTCATGATCCTGGAGTCCCAGGATCGAGTCCTGCATCAGGCTCCCTGCTCGTTGGGCAGTCTGCTTCTCCCTTTGACTCTCCCCCCTCTCATGTGCTCTCTCTCTCATTCTCTCTCTCAAATAAATAAATAAAATCTTAAAAAAAAAGAAACATGTGCACAAAAAATATGCATCAAGAACAAGTTAGCTGTGTCCATTTCATGGATGCTGGATCAGACAGGGGAAGTAGCAGCAGTTGGAGTATTCTCATTTTGTATTGGTTCCTGGAGCACTAATTTCCTGTAGGGTGACGTGAAGAGGATCAGATGATATACTATATGCGGTGGGTTGAGTTATAAGAGAGGACCCCCGAGTTTAGGGAACCCAAATCTTTTATAATGGGCAGTAAACATGTCTGTGCTTTGCTCCAGAGGGAGACCTTGTTTCTCCCTTCCAAGACTATTTGCCTCTAAGAGGTGGATCTTTTGGGTCACAGCATCTTGGCTGAAGCAAGTCATAATGCCAGTCCAGATTCAAGGGAGGGGAAATAAATCACACCTCATGGTGGGAGGCGATCATTCAGAGGGGGAGCCGTATGGATCATTGGTACCCGTTTTGGAGACAATCAGTCAAACCCTGTTGACCCTGCTTTGTCTAAGAAATGCATTGTGGTGGTTTTGGGCTTTTAAAAAATTATGTATTATATTCTTTATATTGCATAGATATATTATTATTATGTATATGTATTATTATATATATATGTATATATAAACAGAGTTTCCACTCTCTGTATGTTATCTTCATTTTTCCTGTAAACCTAATACTTCTCCAAAAATAGTCCATTAATTAAAAAATTATGTATTCATTCCTCAAATTATAATGCTCATTATGAAAAATTCAGACCATACATAAAAATGTAAAATAAAAATTGAAGTCAGAGGATTTTACTAGCTCTCTGATCCCATTTTCTTCAATTTACATCACCAATATTTAGAGTCCAAAGTACATACTTAACATGCTTTTTATAAGTATTTTCTATGTTTAGGCAGGTGTACAAATATATAATTTCTAAAACCAAAAATGGCATCATATTCTACCTGCCATGCCACAACATGCATTCTCCATCCTCTGCCTTATTTTTCTTTCATGAATACGAATTTCTTAGAAGACAAAATAAAAGGAACACTTTACTGTATATTTCCTTGACAGAGTCAAGAGTAAAGTCTAATTTTTCTGATTATAGAAGTTCATATTCACTCTAAAAAAACAGAATTTATAAAAATTGGAATCATAATATACATACAGTTTTTTATCCTGTTTTCTTCTTAATATATTTTGAACATTTTCTTATAATGTCACATAATCTTTAGAAACATGATGGGAATACTATTTTCTCTTTTTATAAAAGTATTATATCCTAATAAAAAATTGAAAATGAAGAAAACTGTGAAGAAAATATAAAAACCACCTATAATCTGGGGCTCCAGGGTGGCTCAGTTGGTTAAATGTCTGCCTTGGGCTCAGATCATGATCCCGGGGCTGGGATGGAGCCCCGCTTTGGGGAGCCTGCTTCTCCCTCTCCCCCCTGCTTATGCTCTATCTCTTGCTATCGCTCTCAAATAAATAAACAAAATCTTAATAAGAAAAAACAAACTGCCCATAATCTGCCTTCTGGAGTAGCTACCATAAATATCTAGTATATCTTCTTCCAGAGTTTTTGCTATGTGTATATAAAATCTTTAGTAATTCAACATTATATTATGAATTCCATGTTACTAAATGTTCTTTAAAAACAAGGATTTTCCCCCCGGTTTTATGGAGATATAATTGACATATATCATTATATAAAAAAGCAGTGATTTTGGGGGCACCTGGGTGGCTCAGTCAGTTAAGTGTCTGACTCTTGGTTTCAAATCAGGTCATGATCTCAGGGTCATGGGATTAAGCCCCGTGTTGGGCTCTGCATTCAGCGTGGAGTCTGCTTGTCCCTTTCCCTCTGTTCCTCCCCTGCCCTCTCTCTCCTCAATCTCTCTCTCTCAAATAAATAAATAAAAACTTTTTTTTAAAAGCAATGATTTTTAATGGCTCTATTTTCCATTTAAGTCACTGAGGTTTTTTATAATTTTTTTGTTTACTTTTTAAATAATGTATGATGTATATCCTGGGGCATAAATATTTGCACGTACCTCTGATTATTTCATTGGGTTAAATTCACAGCATTGGAATAGTTCAGTCAAAGAATATGAACATATTTAAGGCTCTTGATGGATATTGCCAAATTGTTTTTCAGAAATGTTGTCCTTATTTTTCTGTACACTTACTAGCTTTAGGTCTTGAAACATTTTTGTAGATATGATTTTGAATTGTTATTTTCCGCCAAACTTCAAACTTAAGCATTTTCTCAGACCTTAAAATTTCTTCATAAACATAATGTTAAGTGACTGTAAATTCTGTGCTGTTCTGCTTTCTGTCTACATTCCTCACTTTTCTTCTGGAGTCAAGGTTGGGATGGGCTCTTCCATTCTTTTTTTTTTTTTTTTTTTAAGATTTTATTTATTCATTCATGAGAGAGATGGGGGGGGAGAGAGAGAGAGAGAGAGAGAAGCAGAGGGAGAAGCAGGCTCCCACGGAGCAGGGAGCCCGATGCGGGACTCGATCCCAGGACCCTGGGATCATGACCTGAGCCGAAGGCAGACGCTTAACCATCTGAGCCACCCAGGCGCCCGGGCTCTTCCATTCTTATCTGTTGTCCTTTCCTGATACAGTTCAATTGCCCAATTAAAAAACCCACTCAAAATTTATCCTCTCTTATGATTTTGAAAAAAGTGTTTCCAGACTCCAGCTTCAGAAAACTAAAGCTAGCAGGAACAAACGTATTTCTTGGAAGGTGTTATATACAGACTGCAGTGCTCATCCTCCAGCTGCTGGGTTCAGTGCACTGGGACTCTTGCTTATAGATGAGGTTTGTTTAGCCTGCACAGTGCTTTAAAATTTTTAAGCCAGTAATGGAGAATCAGGAGATTTTTACATAATAAACCTGCATTTCTGGCTTCTTTTAAAAAATCAGTAGACTTGGCTTAGGGGGTGCACATGCCCACATGGCAGGAGCCAGCTGGACCCGAGCCTTGGGTGCTCTGTGTGGGTGGGCGGGCTCTCTCCTTTCCACAGTGCTCCCGCTGTTTACTGTTACTATTATTTTTATCACTATGACTTTTACACCTAGTCCGCTTGGCTCATTTATATGGTTGCTGCCTGGTCCCGTAGACATTTGAGTTCAGGCCCCAGGCCCAGAGCCTTTTTCACTGTAATGCTGCTGACTCCAAGAATCAGAGCAGCGAGGTGACTTTTTGAGGCACACACAGCCATGAGCGGCGAACTGATGACTCAGACCAAGTGAGTCCACTTTCAAAGTCCACCCTTGTTCTTCCCACTGTGATCAAACTGCCACTGGGGAAAGGCCACGGCCTGTAAAATATCATTGTTTCAGCATCGAAAGAGTTCATTCTTATCGTCTTCTGTGACTCACAATGAAAAATCTTGGCTTTGCTATTCAAGCAGATTGTGTTGACATCTTGAACATATATGTGTGTGTGTGTGTGTGTGTGTGTGTATGTGTGTGTCCCTTTCTGTTTCGACTTTTACAAGGTAATTGTGTTACTTCTATGCCAGATTTTGGTTCCCACAGATAACGAAGTCAGTTCAGCATTGCCAAGGCTCCCCCCCTCCACCACTCTGGAAGGTAATCTGTAGAGAGGAAAAGATGCTTGAGGTTCTTAAAATTGAATGTTAGCAAAACTGTTAAAAAAAAAAAAACAACCAAACAACCAAAAGAACAAGGATTGTCAGTCGTCATTTCAAATATTAGTCGTCTTTTTTTCTAGTGGCAGGAAATGAGGAACAGAGAGGGGTGTGTACATGAGTGTGTGTGTGTGTGTGTGTGTGTGTGTATGTGATCTGCATGACGACTATACTAAAGCTGTTCCTCGCAGACTTACTGTGTATCAAGCAGGAATTTCACAGGTATCATTCCCTCATTTGACCCTACAACAGCCCCCAGATACTGGTTCTGTTTCTCAGATGAGGAAACTGAGGGGCTATCTAAACACTCATTCTACCTTGCTGGAAGCGAGGGCAGGCCTCTGCATTTTGTTCCTGACTGTGCTGATAGACTCTTTGACCATGGACAAGGCAGTCTTTTGGGACTCAGATTTCCACCCCCTTATCTGTAGAGTGAAGAGGTTGGCCTGGATATTTCATATTTTTTTCCATCTCTAAAAGTCTCTGGTTCTAAGATTTTAAAGGCATGAACTTAGTTTTCTAAGCCTGAGAACTTTTTAAGGGCAGGGTTGATATATTATTTATCCTAGTGCCTAGAATTTATTGGGAATGAATGAAAATCTGGCCTATATCAAAGTAAAAACAAAACCAAAGGTGTTTACGGAAAAATTCTCTAAACAAAGCTAAAGGCCAAAGGTTAAACCAGAAAAAATATTATTTAAAATATACTATTACAAAAGATTAGTGTAAAATACTCAAGTGAATAAGAAAAACCAAAAAGTGGGCAAAGGTCACAAATTAAATATTTACTAAAGAAAAATGCAAGTGAACAATAAACACTAAAATGACATTCAAAGTTATAAGAAGCATAATAAAAATGGGAACGACATATCATTTCTCCTTATCATACTGGAAAAGATTTGAAAGATCAGGATTGGCTGGGGAGAAGGACATCTCCTACATTGGGTGTGTAGGTCATCTTCTACATTGGGTGTCATCTCCTACATGGGTGTGTAGGTTGGTCCCACCCAGAGTGGCATGTCTGTTTCTAAGGAAATAGTTGTATAAGGACACAAAAATATAAGTACAAAGACACTCATTTAGGGGCGCCTGGGTGGCTCAGTTGGTTAAGCAACTGCCTTCGGCTCAGGTCATGATCCTGGAGTCCCGGGATCAAGTCCCACATCGGGCTCCCTGCTCGGCAGGGAGTCTGCTTCTCCCTCTGACCCTCTTCCCTCACGTGCTCTCTATCTCTCATTCTCTCTCAAATAAATAAATAAAATCTTTTTAAAAAAAAAAGATACTCATTTAATCATCATCATAATAGTGGAAAATAGGTGACCAAAATGCCCATCAGTGGGGTAGTGAATAAAGCCATAACATGGTGTAGAATATTTAGTCATTTTAGATGTTGTTGATCTGTATTCACAGAAATGGAAAGATATCCATGATACATCGAGTGGAGGGAAAACAAAATGAATGTAGAGTATGATTAATTACGGATGTAAACACTGTATAAACATAATTTGGAAGGATATATACCAACTTATTAGCAGTGATTGTGGCTCGGTGGTGACATGACGATTGATTTCTATTTCCTCCTTTGCTTTCATTTTTTGAATTTCTTTTTTGGGATGTCCGTATATTGCTTTTGTAATGGGAAAAGTAATAAAGACATTTCCATTTATGGAATATATTTACTCCTATCAGTAGTCTGTGTATATTTTAAGCACTTTAAAAGAAATAAAGTGTCATGGGACAGTTGTGGTTTTGATAATATTGGGTCATATCACTTAGAAACTGCTTAGAATTTCCATTTAGTGCAATCGTAGGTTGATAAATAGAACTGTTAACTTTTGGGGTTGTACGAGTATATTGTGAGGGTTGTGTGGGAATTGCAGGGACATATGTTTTTCTACTTGGGACTTGTGTAGTTTGCCTCTTAGTCTTGGGGAAAAGTAGGAGAAGTTGAGGAAACATTACTGGGATGGGTGCTGAGTGATGTAGGGCTGTACTGTGTGCTGGATGGTGGGTCAGCTGGGCCATAGGAAACAGGGTAGACAGCCTGATACCTTACCCCTAAAAACTCTACTGTGCCTCTCCTGAGAATAAGAACATAGTGAGGATACCATTATCACACCTAGAAAATTAATTTTTAAAAAATATTTTATTTATTTGAGAGAGAAAGAGGAAGAGAGAGGGTGGGGGAGGAGCAGAGGGAAAGGGACAAGCAGACTCCACGCTGAGTGTGGAGCCCAATGAGGGGCTTGATCCCCAACCCTGAGATCATGACCTGTGCTGAAACCAAGAGTCGGACTCTTAACCGACTGAGCCACCCAGGTGCCCCTAGAAAATTAATTTTGATTCAATGATAGTATCTCACATATAGTCTCAATTTAAATTTCCCCAGTTGTCCTCAAAATGTCATCTAAAGATTTTTCCCTCCTAATTCCAGATGTATCCAAGGGGCATTTGGTTGTTTTATCTCTTTCTTCTCTCTTAATTTAGCTTCTAAAACAATCTTCCTGCCTTTTGTTTTGTTTGCTTTTCATGACTTTGACTTACTTGAAGCATTCGGGCCAGTTGTCTCGTAGAATGCTCTACATTCTGGATTTGCCTGATCTGTTTCTTATGATTACATTCAGGTGAACTGGTTTTGGCCAGAATGCTGCAGAGATGATGTATGTGCTTCTTATTCCATCACATAAGGAGGCTTATCATGTCTGGTTGTCCCACTGTTGGGGAGACCCACTAGTTTTTAATGAATGGGAAGCTTTATCTCACAGAAAAAAGAAGTCAAGGGTATAAACTTTCCAACATATTGTATATTTACGTCTTTCATGAACACAAAGAAAATGTTTATTAACAGGAAATATACAAAAAAAAAGGAAGTGTCAAGTGTTTCACTATCTACTGAGAGTTTCAAATCCTTTTCTTTTTTTTTTTTTAATGGAGAAAACGTAAATATTTGGTAAACCACCAACCTTTATCCCTGCATGTATAAAAGCAGGGTGGGAATGAGATATGGTATTCTATTAGTTGCTACTAGGTTGGATGCATAGCACGGGTGCATATGGAAGGCAGTTTTCTGTGTGTGCCATCACAAGGCCCACACTGTGATGTGGGCTGCCCTGTCCATCCTTCATTGTTGTAATAATATGTTTTTAAAATCTTAGGTTTTATTTTCTTTCCTGAGATTTGGGGCTATTATCTTAGAACAATTGAGCATACTATCTTAGGACGGTGTTTTTGGAAGCACAGTGCTTTGAATTCATTCTTGGCTTTTTAAAAAATTTTTCCTTCCCTAAACCTCCAGTTGGACTAACAAAAAATGCAGAATATTTTCTTCTGGCTGACAGGACTCTAGCAGCCCTTCTTTCCTCTTAGTGGTCCGCCAGGAGGGAGCTTTTGGAGTCTTGCTGAGGCAAGATGAACTTGTGTGAAACAGGAGTCTTTGTGAAGACTGTAGGGGCGCCTGGTAACATGGAGATTTTGATTCTCTTTTTCAGGGCATCTTTTATGACCAAAACTGTGCCTTGTGGAAATGAGCTTCATAAGTTCCTCATCTGGGACACTGCTGGGCAGGAACGGGTAAGTGTACGGGTTGTTGGCTTGCTAAGGAAAATACTGAGCCCAGTTCCCGAAGGTTTCTTTGTATTTGGCAAGACTCTTGGTTGCAAGTGACAGAAACCCAGCTTCAGTGATTTAATCAAAAAAGGAAATGGGTTCTTCCACTGTGTGAAAAATGTATGGGGTGGCCCTCCTGAGATAGGGCCAAGTTCATCAAGTCCCCCAAATGTATTGTCAGAGGCACCCGGCTCTATTCCTGTTTCTCTCCTTGCTTCCCTCTAGACTGGCTTCATTTTTAGGCAGACTCACTTCCTTCCCTTCCCCAGGGGTGGCAAGGATGGCTCCATCAGTGACTCCAGGCCTGCATTCTGCCACCTGAGCAGTCCCACGGATGACGGTACCTCTTTTCCGCGAGTTGTGCCCCGTGTCTCAGCACCTGGTTTGGTCATGTGTCCCACTCCTGAACTTGACACTGTGTAGTAGCGTTCATGGGGGATTTGGCACTCTTATTTGTAGGGCCTGGTAATACACTTTACCCCTAAAGGTAGGGGCTGCCATCAGCCACATTGGTTGGAAGTCTGGTAGGCTTAGTTACCCAAGGAAAACATGGGTTCTCTTACTGGAAAATGGGGCAATGGACGTTGGGTTAGCAGAAAGAGCCAATGACTTGTCTCATTCTTCATTCCTTTTATTTGCCAAAAATATTGATGGGGAAGATTATTTAAGAAGCTCGTGTTTTTAGATTTCAAAAAGTGAAATAATACCAGCACAGACTGACTATAACAGGTTATTCGTGTAATCACTAGCGTGTATATTATCAAAGTCGAAAGGGGTGGGCAGGATAAGTGACACACAGGGATAACCACTAGCTTGCCTTCACTGGGGGCTTCCAGCCTGCTCAAAACTGTCATCAGAGCTAATGATTATGGAGTAAAATAGGTTGAGCTTCCCCTTGTCTGATCCAAGCTCACGTGTCACCTTCTCCACTTACCCTATTCAAATGTCAACACTACCCCTTCTTCCGTCCCGGCTCCACTCACTTCCTTTTTCTCCATAGCTCTTACCACCTTCTAATATGTTATTGAATTCCATTATTGATTATCTCTCTCTCAAAGGAAGAGAATCCAGGGTTCAGGATAATGCATGCTTTTCCTTATCAGCTCCTAACAAGTCAAGTGTGTGTTTCTGTAACTTTCATTTTATACAAGTCCCCATTCTAGCAGTTGTAGATTAAGGCTACTGGGGTTTTAAAGATGTCTTTCTTCTTAATCAGGACAAATCTTCTGGCCTACAAATGCTAACCTCATTAGAACGTCTTCTATTTTGCTGCTAAGTTGAGAGCACAGACTTGTACACACAAAGCCATTACTTAGAGCACCTCTTTAACTCTGTTAGTCCGCTGTGCCTGCTGACCTCCGAAATGAGAAGGCGGATCCTAGGAGAAAATGTATACTCAGGAATCTCATCTTTACATAGCTTCCTCTTTACCTACTATGTATGTATATTTGTAGTATGTAGATCTGCCAGGTTTTTGGGGTTTGGGGTTTGGTTTTTTGGTTGTTATGTAAACTTAAGCAGAGAGGTTTTCTTGCTCCCATTTTTACTTTTGGTCATGAAATAGTTGCTTTTGCAGCCACTGTTAATGAGCACCAGTCAATTTTACCAATAGCTAGCTTAGTATTAGCAGTACTACTGCTTCTCCTATTGGCGGATATTTCCCGAGGGCTAGCTATGTTCCACGCAGTGTTCTCATGCCTTCCGTGTACTAACTAACACACTTAGTCCTCTTGCAGCACTCTGACCTGGGGACTATTTTTAGCCCTCTTTATAAGTGAGGTCACGGAAGGACGGACTGGTTAAGTAACTTGCTCAAGATCACACAGCCCATTAGGCCAAAAGCTGAAATCTGAATCCAGCAGTCTGGGTCCTGAGCTTTGCTTTGTAGTTTTGTTCTGCTAGAAAAATCACACAAAAGCCATGCAGCCAAGAGTAAAATTATCCAAAATCCCACCACCCAGCTATCTCCACTGTTTTTTAAATTTAGTTTTTAAATTGAAGGATAATTGACATACAATATTAGCTTCAGGTGTACATCGTAGTGATTTGATATTTTTATACATTATGAAATGATCCCCACAATAAGTCTTATTTCCGCTATTGACATTAGATGACCATTCTTCAGATATCTCACTCTGTGTGTGTTGGTAACTTCATATCAAAGGGCTCAGGGTTCTTTATAACTTGCTGTTTTCATGTGGTAATAACAGTGTTTCTGAAGAGAGATTTCTATATGATCTAAACGGAGTATTTGACATCTCCTTACCTATTCTGATAAAATATTCAAGTAGGTGACTGCTTTTGATGAAATTTGGTCCTCTAAAGTGACTACTGTAGTTTGTAGCTTGCTCCCTGACCATCTCAAAGCAAAATAGCAATAGAAAATTTTTCGTATGACCATATTTCTAATAATTCTAATTGCTTTTCCTAAAATTGGATTTTTAGAGGTGATAGACATCTGTGCCTGTATTGCTGTCTGTCATTTTAAAAGCATAGTATTATATATGTTATTATATTATACATATTATATTATGCATTATATATATTATATATTATTGTATCAGTGTTATGTGTATTATTAGTAGTATCTACTATGATAATTTTTAGTATTAGGTGTGCAAGGCCAAGTCCACACTAGTGCTTCGGGGAGGAGGGACTGACTTTTGGCTGAGGACTTCAGGTGGATGCTTTTTAGAATCTAGATTTGTGGAAAGCATGTGAGAAATGTCTGCACAGCTTTTGTGGTCATTGATCGCTCTAACCGTCGAAGGCCTGACTTCGTTATCCTTAGGCCGTCCTTGTCTGCTGTCCCTCCGTGCAGTCTCGCATCTCTCCAGGGATGGCAATTTCTCAGTCATTTTGGCAGCTTTTTGCTGGATTTAATCATGCTTGTAATGACATTGCCTAATGTTGGAGCTAAAAATACCTTCCCTGCTGCTGCATGTACCTACTGCTGTTTGTTCTGTCTCATTAATTGCTGGAGTCCAGCGCACTTTATTATCCCTCCTTATCTTTGTAGGAATTGGCTACTGTTCTTCTTAGTCTTCACAATTTTAAACAAACAAAATCTCTTTGGATTTATGGTTTGATAATATAAAGACATAGATTTCTGTGTCCTCAAAGGGGGATAATGCTCAGTGCAGTGCTTAGCATGTGTTAATTACTCAGTGTTTGTTTACTTGTGGAACTATCGAACCACTTCTGCCTAGCATACACAATATTCATTCTGGACTACATTTGTGGCACAAATTCATACTCTTGAGAACTCACTCTCCCATCTGAGCACTGGAAAGGTAAAAGGAGTCCTCTCTTCCTCCCTCTCTTTGTAGAAGAGAGTGTTCATTCTTGATATGCTGTCTTAATTATGCTTTTCATTCAACCACATATGATGAACATCCTATGATCCTTTCAATGGCAAACGGTAATCCATAGACTGCCTCTGTAAAAAAGTGTTTTCAAATTTAACCATTTTCAATTAAGCAAGTGATTGTTGGATCCAATTTGTTAGAAGCTTAACATTTTCAAGGTTTGTGCATTCAGTTTGTTGCTACCAAGAGGGGTATAGAGGGGGCAAGAGTGCCATTGGAGTGCCCGTGTTGTAGCGTTGGTGTGGGCTTTTGGGGGTTTTCATCTGTCCTCTCGGAATGAGTTGTTGTCCTGGTTTCTGCTTTGTGTGGAGCTATGAGGAGAACTCAGCAGTGGGTCAGCAGACGCCCTGGAAGGATATATACAGGAGCTCGAAGAGGTCCCAGGGGAGAGAAAGGAATATATCTGCCCAGCTTCGTCCTCCTCTCTTCCACTGGTCAGAGTTTGTGATGGGAAGATGAGACTTCTGTCCTAATGTGTCCACACGTCTGTCTTTCCCTTTGGGTTTCCTTTTGACTCCTTTCTTTGTTTTTCCACATAAACTGGGGACTAGAATATCCTCATTGTTATTAAAATGTTTTGGGGCACCCGGGTGGCTCAGTAGGTTAAGCGGCTCAGGTCTCGGTTTCAGGGTCATGAAATCGAGCCCACCATTGGGCTCCTCGCTGAGCATGAAGACTGCTTGGGATTCTCTCTCCCTCTCCCCCTGCACCCCCTCTCCAAAAAAAAGTCTCATCAATAGGAATTGCAACCTCCGTGTTCTAGATGTGTGCTTCCAAGTCATTCTGTTTTTGCTTTAAAACACAATTGCAATCCATAGAATAACTCTATTAAAATGTTCATATCTTGGAAGATTTCCTGTTTTTTTTTCTTTTTTTTTTTTTTTTTTTTTAAAGATTTTATTTTTATTTACTTGAGAGAGAGAGAATGGGAGAAAGCACGAGAGGGAAGAGGGTCAGAGGGAGAAGCAGACTCCCCGCTGAGCGGGGAGCCCGATGCGGGACTCGATCCCGGGACTCCAGGATCATGACCTGAGCCGAAGGCAGTCGCCTAACCAACTGAGCCACCCAGGCGCCCATGCTTCATTTTCTTGATCTGATCCATCAGAGCAATATTATTCTAAGAATCTAACATGAACAAATATTAACATCATTATCTTGTTTCACTTGGGTTGAAGTCAGTGTTATGGCTGTCTCTCTGCCCTACTGCCTCAGTCAGAATAATTGTATTTATAAAATTTGCATTTCAAATGTGCCACAGTGACAAATTCCGCAAAGGTGAATTGATGGTTCTTTGGTTAGAATAAAAGCTCTCCCTTGACTCTACTAACACATCTGAAGTTGAATAGATTGACTTCTGAAATCAAGCTCATCATTATATACTTTTTAAAGATGAAATTGGAGAACACATATACAGACTAAAAAAGTCTGGCCCCCTTTCCCAATATTTAGCAGGAATTCTGGAGCTTTGAATTTAATGGTGAAAATGACATGATGCAAAGATTTGTGTAGGAAATTATATAATTTTTAACTACCGCCTTTTTTTGGGTATTTTTAAAAAATCGACAGAACACTGAAAATGAAAGAAATTATAAGTAA